GTATCCACTCGGCGCGACTGCTACCCGGGCTGGGGGTACGACTGGCTCTTAATGGCTTCATCGGCGGCTCATCGTGTATTTCCTCTATAATGGGTGTGGTGGGTGTCACTGGCGGCGCGGGCCGAGTCACTGCTATAATTAGCGTCGATTCAAATTGGTCGGAATTGTCTTGATGAATAAGTACGCGTGGTAATTCTGTGTCAGTTTCGGAATCCAATGAGTCAGTGAGTAGATTCTTGGTTGTCCAAATTGCGCGCGTATGCTGTATATGGGTGCCGTCAAACTCGCGCTCAACGTGCTCCTCTCTCTCTGGCTGGCTTTCTTCTTCGGAATCGCTTGGCGTGTCGCGTGCTGCAGCGCGTCTTGCAGCGGTATGTGGACGTACATAGATAGTGCGTTCATCGTCCGATTGATCTTCGTATTCCTGCTTGGCTGGCTTGCCAGCGTCTTTCTTGCTGCCGCCGCCGCTCTCCTTTTCGATATTCTCCTGAGACTTGTGAAAAAACTTGATCTGCTGCATTTTCTCATTCACCTTCTTGAGCGTGCGTTTACGTGCCTGCTCAAAGCGCTCTTCGAAGTTCACAGCACGCCGACAGTTGTCGTCCTTTGACTTGCCTGTGGGTGTCTGGTTGGCTTCGTCTTCGGTGCCATCGAGATCGTCTGTGGAGCTGGCGCGCTTACGCTGCCGCATATTGCGTAGTTTTTTCATCAGTTTGTCCGTCCGCTTCTCCTTGTCACCCTCCCGTTCAGGCGACGTTTCTTCGCCGGTTTGGGCGCCATCGATCTCATTTGGTTTGCGCTTGAAACTCTTCTTCCACGTCTGCAGCTTATTGCTAATTGCGGCGCGTATGGGTGAGCGCTGTTCTTCCGATTGCTTGGGCGATGCTGTTTCATCCAGATTCTCGGTGGATGCTTCATGCGAAGCGAATTTCCGCAAGCGCGCAGCCAATTTTTCAGTGCGACTTATTTGCTTTGTCTCCTTTTTAGGCGTGCCTTCGCCCTCGGTGTCTTCGGCAGCATTCGCTGCGCCGCTGCTGTCGGCTTCTTGTGTACGCCTTATCGATTTCGAGAAGCGTTTAATGTTCTGTTTCAAGACACTAAGCGGATTATCATTCTCTGCTGCGATTGGGAGCTCTGGCTTCTCTTCCGATTGCTGTGGTGTTAGTGGCGCGCGACGTTTCTTCTCACCCAACTTCTCTGGCGTTTCCTCGCTACGTTTGCCCAAGCTGCGCAATTTGTAAAGCGCCTTAGCGCCTCTACTCTCTGCAGGCGCTTTAGGCCCGCTCTCCGGTGAGCTTTGCACGATTCTTTGCTTCTGATGGCCGCCTCTAGCGACTGGCAATTCCTCATCCTCGTCCAGCTCGTTGTTGCTCTCATCGGAAATATACTGCTCGAGTGGTGGATTGCGTACTCTGGCGAAACGCGTTGAGGCAATGCCTGGTTTCCGTGGTGGTGGCGTAGCCTCCATGCCGCTCTCGTCTTCGCTCTGCACATGCACGGTCTTGCCACCTTTTTGCGGCTCCTGCTTGGGTGAGTCATCCGAGCTCATACTGCGTTTGCTGTTGTCTGTGTCCTGTCGCGAAACTTTGAAATTGAAACGGTAATTATCCGCAATTTTGCGATCTCTTTGCTCCTGCTCGGCTCGCTCACGTTCACGGTCCTCATTGAAGCGCTCCACATAGTGATCGACTTGTATGACATCTCTGCGCACCACTGTCTTCTTCGCAAAGATGTGACTCAGCCGAAATTCGGTGATGTCCTTGTATCCCTTTTGCAACTTTTCGCTGAGAGACATTTTCGCCACAGCGCCGCCCTCAGCATCGCGCTCATTCGTTACACCACTAATGGATGTGTGTATGGGACTTATGGGACGTGACAATCGTTCGGGTACCTCAAATTCACGCGGCCTCGGGTAGTCATCGTCCACGCTGCAGGCACTGCGATAGGTGCCACGTTGTGAGTCGCCGCGCTTTTGTTGATGCATCAGCGACGAAATGGTCGAAATGCGTTGCGGTGAATGATTTACAAAATCAGCAGGCGGTATGGGTGGGCGCACTGACAGCTGTTGGAATGGCGAATGCTGTTGCTGCTGCTGCAGTTGTTGCTCCTTCTTTGACCCTTTACTGTCGCGGCTAAGGTCCTCGCGCGACCGACTGAATATGCGACGCGGGCGCAATTTCGGTAATGACTTTGGCAATTTAATTTGCGGCATTGCTGGCATAGCAGGCAATGAGGGAATTCGCGCTAAAAGGCAAAAAACCAAAGAGAATTAATGAGCGGATAAATAATTAAATTGTTGGATTTGTGTATGGGTGTATGTGTGTGTGTGTGATTGCATGTTGGCGTGCAGCAGCGGATGAATCGCCACAAATGGCTGACGTTTGCAAAAAAAAAAATTGCATTGAAGTATTGATTTTCAGTGGCATTGAGTGGCACTAAGCTTGACCCACAAGCGCACAAATGCAGCAAATGCGTGGCAAAAGCAGGCATGCAATCCAACGTGCATATGTACATACATACCTCGCAGGCTGCTTACATCGATATTCTGGCACAAGTTTTTAAAATCCATGTTGGCAATTTGAACTGCAATTAAGTAAACAATTAATCCTTGAATAACCCCTAAGCCCCACGCGCCTACTTACTTCGGTGTGCCACGCTCTTTACTAGGAACCCTATGGCCTGCCTTTCGCTGTACTCACTCACCCGCAATCACTAACGGCAGCTAATAGAATTTTGGTGTTCCACAGCAGTTAATGTTTCCAAAAATGTCCAACGCAAATTATTAAAAATGCCATTTTAGTGGTCTTGATTTTTCAAATTAATTCTAAATTTTCCAACTACAATTTGCTGTGCAGCGTAGGGCTTTGCTGCCGTTCTGATTCGTTTCAGTGAGTATTTTAGTCTGCCTTTTCAGTCGAGGTTCCATAGTTGAGCTTTCAAAGCGCATGTCTACTGGCAACCCTTTACTTTCGGCGCTCAACCGCTTTTGTCTAGACTTTTTTCTACTTTTCAAAGGGGTGCTAATTGAATTAACGTATGCCTTTTTTTCTACACATTCTGCGCACGAACTCTTTGTTACAATGTAGCTTATTTTCCTTCATTCGCTTTCGTTTTCTTTTTATAGTTGTCCGAGTTGTCTATAAATAGGCACTTTTCTTCTTATGCATTTCTTTCTACGCCTTTTTTGAGCTGCATTTTATGCATTTCTTCTTCAGCTGATTTTCCATGTGACTTTTGTTGTTGTTTGCTTTTCTGCTTTTCATCAAAAAGGTCTACAAAGCTTTTGAATCATTCCACAACTAAATACTTACCTACTCAGCTATTCTTTATGTTTGCTTTCACAGTTATTCTATGGAGGCTTGGCTTGAGTTGGGTAGGTTCAGTAACTTCTTTATTACACTAGAAGGCAGTTGATGGCAGATGTTTTTAGTAGACAAAAAATAAATAAAAGAAGATCTATTTTCCGTGGCCGTAGTAATCTTGCGATCTCACAGTCTTTTTAGCCGACTCATTCCATCCAATATTTTAATGTCCGGTGACCCAGTATAGAGTGACGTTGATATGACTCAGAGATACCAACGTGGCACGACATTTCCATACAATTTTTATGACCAGGTTTTAAGTGGCTAAAAATGTATTTCAAGTTTTTAAATTTTCAAAAAATTGTATTAAATCTTGAACTAAAGGGCAATTTTTGACATGTCTAAAAATTATGTCCTGATTTTAAAATACCAAAAAATTTTACATAGTTTTTAAATACCCAAAAATTGATGGCCATTTTGGAGTCTCCCAAAACTTTTTGCATTTTTTCAATTGCGAATAATTTATGTCCAGTTTTAAATGGCCAAAAATGTATGGCCAGGTTATAATTCGCCAAAGATTTCTGCTCAATTTATAAGTTACCAGAAAAATCCGTGCAGTTTATAAATAAGCAAAATGATTAAAGTTATGCCAAGATTTTAAAGGACTAGAAATGTACATATATCCGGGCTTTTTTACCAAAGTTTTAAAATTACGAAAGATTTATGTCCCGTTTTCAAATGTCCCAAAATGAATGCCTTGTATTTAAAGGCGCAAAAATGTATAGTGGTTAAATTTCCAAAAGTTATGTTCAATTTATGAATTACAAAAAAAATGTTGACGAGGATTTAAATGATCAAAAATATATGCTGACCAAAAATTAGGTTCAGTTTTCAAATGACCAAAAGTTTCAAAATCACCAAAGATTTATGTCTAGTTTTCAAATGACCAAATGCGCAAAAATGTACAACCAATGTTCAAATTTTTAAAAATCAAGTCCAATTTTTGAATTACCAACACTTTTTGACGAGTTTTTAAATGATCAAAAATTTTTGTGCATGGCATATTTGATCAAAAATTTATGTCCAGCTTTTAAATTGCCAAAAAATTATGTTCAGCTTTCAAATTATCAAAAATGTATATCTAGTTTTTAAATAATCAGAAATTGTGTTTAGTTTTTACGTTACCAAGAGTTGCTGCCCAGTTTTTAAATCAGCAAAAAATTATATCCAGTTTCAAATTGTCTAAAGCCTATGTCTAGTTTAACTTTCAAGAACATATCGCTGGGCAAATTAGTTGAAAATTGTTTATTCTTCGTGCAACACGGTCATCGCGAGTGCCATAACAGAGATATGACTTGGCAACTTCCTGTGCCTGGAAGACACAAGAATACTATAGTTACTTAGTAAGTTTTACATTCCTGCCTAATTTCGCTACGCCATCGGCCGAATCTAGTAGTGAGATTCGCTTCCTTTTGATCGTTTTTTCAAAAGACCTTCAGCTGAGTGTTTTCTCGTCTCGTTTTGCCCACCAAACCTTTGAAACTGAATGAAATCTGAAAAGCTTAATACGGATTTAGGAAAACAGTTTTGACTACTTATAAGATTTGAAATATCTAAATTCACTTTACTTATTTTAAATAATTTACAACGAATTTCTAATAATGTACATATTTCTTCTTTCAATTCTTCTCATTTCAGCTCGCTTTGCAAACATCGCACAATACATGCATACATTAATACAACCGATATTCGCATTACTCCCCAGTGTTTTGGTGTTCTGTGCTTAAGTGAATTTAATAAGCATTCCATTTCATATTTTATGCATATTTCAATTATTTTTTTTCAATTTAGGTATGATTTTCAAATTTATTAAAATTGCATAAGTGTAAAGTTATTCCCAAGCATACTCATTTAGTGCATATAGCACTTAGACGTATTGAATTAGATTTGTGTGTATTTGTGCATACACTACAACAAATGTCGTCCATATTCCTCACGTAATCACATATTTGCATAGACTGAACATTCCAGACAACGCTCTCTTTCTCTGGAGGGAGAGCTTCGACAAATAAACCACAACTCAAACAAGGAATATCAACAGCATCCTGCTCGTATTGCGTGCAGGAATAAAATACGTACACATACCAACACACCAGACACATCCAGGATGGGGCGGCTGTCACAAAAGCTGGCCGTCCTGCTGCTGGTGGCCGTTTTAGGCTCATCAACTGCCGAGAGTAAGTACATACAATGAATATTAGAATAGATGTAAGATATTACTAGACATGTAAGTTCGGTGGTATGCCGTTTTGTGGAATGTTTTATTTAACCGAAGTAATGTTTGGATGTGTGGAAAATATTTATTTCGTGAATACACAAATACCCTGTCCCTTTTAGATGAAAGTTAAAGCTTCTGATTTTATATACCATAGATAAGAGATGGTGCCTTTCTTCCAAAGTATTTTTCCTAGCTCTGCGAAACCATAGTTATGTTTTATGGAGTCCTCGTCTGATGGAAGGCACTGGTGAACTTCTACACGGATGAGTCGAAGCTTAAACGAAGGGTGGGCGGAGTTTCATCCAAGGAGTTACATCAACCTTAAATTTAGGCTTGCTCTTGCTTTTGCGCCCGTTGACGTTTAAATTACTTCGGATCTACTTAGGCAGTCAAGTGCAATCAGGGCTCTGGGCTTGCTTACGGTACGCTAGAAGCTTGTACGGGAATGCCTAAATTCTCTTCCGGCCGCGTCGGAATATTACCTTGTCAAAATTGTATGGGTGCAAGGCCATAGTTATATCGTAGGAAACTGTGGCAGCTGAACTGGCCAGAAGTGACACCATCGAACCAGTATCACCCGAAAAAGAGGGTTGGGAGTTCCCTTGACTTGTTGTGGACTTCTCTTAGAAAGGTGAGGCTCGTGTCAACTCAGCGAACGCTGCGGAAAACTAGGTCATGACGAGGGTGGATCGGGGACGGTGTAGGGATCTCTCTCAATTCTGCTGGGTGTACTGTTAGATGACTGTGTAAGTGAAATTCACGCTCTGGGATTTATCATCACACCGGATGTGAAATCTCCCGTTATATCAGAATCTTTAGTGAACAAATTATATCATTCGAATCTTGACGTGAAGGAATCATATTGATCCCATCATAAATGCCAATGACCTCTGTAATTTCAGGATCCGTAGGAAAAAAATTGTATCTTCCTACTTAAGGCGTAATGAGGTCGTATGGATATGAGGTTCGTGATCAGCGATTCCAAAAACTCATAGATAAGATGACCTCAGAGGTACTCTATGTAGTTAGATTTGTAGTCGATTTTGTTTTAAGTGTAGTTTATCCGCAAATACTGCCGAGTACAGGGCACTCATACATACCTATTTAAACAAATGTTTACTTCATGTAATCTGCTCGAAAATTGCTTTACTCAGATTGGAAATGAACTTTGTTGTTATTATTATTTTAATTTTTTCGAATTAGTGAAAGTTGCTCGTAAACCGCCACTCTGCTGCGCCTCTACTGCAGCAAGTTAAACTTCAATATTTTTATCAAATGTTATTTATGTTCATCTCATTGTAACTGCCTTTAAATAAACTCCACGCTTGTTTGCACCTCTCTTCTAACCGCCTTCACCCATACGATGAACGTGTAAACCACATTTGCATTAGCCGCATTCAATCATTAAGGTTTCTTTCACCGTCGGGAACTTTTAGTTGTTTATTAGTATTTACATGCGACTCGTACCCATCTGCCCAGCTTATCATCGCTTGCAGCTCTCTCTCCAATCGAACCACTACTTATCAGCAGTAAGGCAGACAGACAGTACGTCAAAGCCAAACATGCAGCAGCCCGCCTATTTTATGCTTCATTCATTTTCATTTCGCCAGCATCATCGAATGCTTTCCTCTCACTCCAATGAAAAGGCAAAACAAAACCATACAATTGTCCACGATTTTCATGTAATTTGTGGCATGACGCCATTTCGATAGACTTGCGCTTTAAGGTACCCTGCAAAAAATGCGACTAATACCACAAAATGACACTGAAGATGGCACAACGCCGAAACCGGTTTGTCTCCAAACAAAATTTGACAAGGGATGACAGAAAATCGTTCCACATTGCATCACTTTTGATCTCTTTATATGGAATGAACTGATACTAATTGTTCACCTTTATACCCGAACGGGTACAAAAAGCGACTAGTCACTTTAAAATAATCAAAATAAAAATTTGCGCCAGCCGCTAAGCGAATACTTTCTCAATGTGCCCACGCCGCACGTGAAATTTCATAGTGTGTACATATCGTTAAATCGTTAATATTTAGTACCCGTAAGGGATGAGTCGAGACTAATTGATCTCCATTAGTACCCGTATGAGACTAGTTGCGACTAATTAATGCCCAAATGTACCCGATTGAGAGTAATCTTGGAATACTCTCTTTAGAGATTAGTCGAACAATTTTTGTGGCATGTTCGCCTATATGCATATACTAGTTATAGTAGGTACTAACGGGTGATTTTTTTGAGGTTAGGATTTTCATGCATTAGTATTTGACAGATCACGTGGGATTTCAGACATGGTGTCAAAGAGAAAGATGCTCAGTATGCTTTGACATTTCATCATGAATAGACTTACTAACGAGCAACGCTTGCAAATCATTGAATTTTATTACCAAAATCAGTGTTCGGTTCGAAATGTGTTTCGCAAACCCAATTGCTGCGAACGGCGACGAATCGACATTTCACGGTCTTCAGCAACACTCTCAGAAACAGACGCAATATTCTCTTCTGTACGCACTGTACGCATTCGTGTGGTTGGTTTAATGTCCAATAAAGTAAACTGAGTGCGAAACTTGGTCACAATCGCATTAATTGTTTGCTCACTTGGTCGATTATGTAGACCATAAATCGGACGTAAAGCGAACCGAACACTGATTTTGGTAATAAAATTCAATGATTTGCAAGCGTTGCTCGTTAGTAAGTCTATTCATGATGAAATGTCAAAGCATACTGAGCATCTTTCTCTTTGACACCATGTCTGAAATCCCACGTGATCTGTCAAATACTAATGCATGAAAATCCTAACCTCAAAAAAATCACCCGTTATTTCTATGCAGCCACTTCTACACCTCAAACCACTCATCTCTTGCTCCCTGTTCACCGCTTGTCGAATCTTTCGTCCATACTAAACAATTATGTATATGCAAAGTGTGTGTAAAATTAATCTATTGTATTTCAAATTGTGTATTGCACATAATACGTTTATTGTTGCAGTGCGGTTTCAATGTTATTTGGAATTGAATCGTGTACTAGACATACTGACTGTCTTGGCTGCTGCTGCTTCTGCTGTCTCGCGCGTTATCTTCGCCTTGCGTTTGGCATTCAAATTGCTGATTGTTTACAACAAAGCATATTTGTTGCTTTCTGCTTTTGAATGGAGCATGAGAATGCTTAGAGGAAAAGTACCTGGATTTGAACCCAATTATGGTGTCATGACATATCTAATTATTCGATTGTCAATTTCATGCAGCGACCACTTTTTGATGGCAGAAGTATTTTTTTGACTACTAAAATTATAAATATCTTCTTACATTAAGCGAGCAATTCATGTATGTATGTATATATATATGTATACATGGGTTCTCCGAAACGGCCCTAACGATTTTGATGAAATTTTTTACACAGGTTGCCACCTATTCGAAATTAGTTACAAATTAATTAAAACATCATAATATGGGCATCAAATGGAGGGCATTTTAAAGATCCCTAATTTAAAAATATATTTGATAGGGTTGCCACCTATTTTGAATCGCATGTTTATTTGTTTGTTGTTTAGAAAAAAAGGTAAAATATTACTATTCATCGGTACCAAGAGAAGATTCTTAAACAATGCTTTTTCCCTATATACAAAATTGTATCCATTAGGATAGTAGCGTAAGGTTACCACTTATTTTAAATTCTACAGAATTTATCTAAAAAATTGCAATATGGATATCAAATGAAAGGTATTTTTGAGGACTTTGGTTGGAAAATATTTTCGATCAGGGTTGCCACGCTTCTATGTTATGCAAATTTTTATTTTGTTAATTTCAATCAGCATTTTTTTTGTATACGCTCAAGATATGTTCTATTCATACCAGTGTATTTCGGAATAGAGTTGCCACCTAAATTTTTGAGTAAGAAATTTACTTAATAGATATCGAAATCCAAATTTTTTTATATTTCAAAAATATTTGTTTAAAGCTATCCAAATGACCAGTATTTGATATTCAAACCTTGAAAACTTGTAAAAGTTATGCACTCCGGGCAAAGTTCGGTCAACCTGGTAATAAATAATGGGAATGATGCCCAGCCATGTGCGTTTACCGATGCACACTCCACTCCTTCTCTGTCTGAGAAGGAATTTCGTCGCCATCCTGTCTGACCTCTCCAACGCACTATGGGTAATTTGACCCATTTTTGTGACAAAAATTAACAAGAAGATTACTAAAAAAAACATGGCATATAATTTGCCACATTTTTGCAAACGAAAAATCTTAACCCTTGACGATCGATGGGTCTAAAGGGGTGGTTTTATTGATTAGCGTGAATCCTGTTTTTTCTAAATATTTGTACTAAGGAAAAAAATAGCAATCAGTTATAAAAAACTATACAGTGACTACTGTTGAAAAATATTGCTCAATTATATTAATTTCAGTTAAAAACCTAAAAGATCTGAGTTTCCTGATTTCCTTATTTGTCTTCAGCGAAGTAAAAAACGGCACTGTCACTGCAAACCCCGATTTGATTTCCACTCTACCTTTCACTAAATACCTCGTCTCCTACTTCTAGTATTGGAAAGATCGATTGAATGGACATTGTCAATATACCTAAAACAGGAAAATATCCTAAGCTACACTTTAAATGCTATCGATCTCCAGTTCCATTTTCAGTCTTGGAGAGCTCGATACCGAAGTTTTTACTGAGTTCTACAATTTTGAACTAAAAAATTACACACATATGTATCTACTTATCATCACGTGAAATGCAAAAAGACGTAACAACATCCTAAATGAAATGGAAAAAGTCGTGACTAATATTTAAATTTTATTTTTTTTCATAAAACGATGTGGGGAGTTGTAATTCTATGAAATCCATCATATAAATCAAAAAGTGAATTTTGAATTTTTTATCAGTTATGACTTTTTGCATTTCAACGATGATGTTTGTTACGTCTCTTTGCATTTCAGGTGACGATATGTACATAAATAGTATGTAGAAAAAGACTTGGCTTATTTTTAGTCAGTCCATTATTCGATTAGGAAACGTTTACGTTTTACGTTTTCGTTAAACTTCATTCACTGATTCCAAAAAAACCTTTGAACTCTGTCTGCCACATGACTTACATACATAGTTAGTTGGCCTACTTTTTCTAAATAAATGTGGACATGCAGTTCAAATTCATTTAATACACAACAAACTTTCTTGCCAATGTTTTAAAATAGATGTTTACGAATGCGAGCACGCTGTCTATTTGAATGTAAGCAATGGTCGCATTTCAAACTGACTGTCTGTCGCTCTGTTCGTCTATTCGTTTGCATTGAATGTGTAAGTTCTATTTACTATATTTTGGGTATGTACATATGTATGTATATAAATCTGTCAGAAAACCTGCGCATTCACACCTTCGTAAAAAATCGAACAACAACAACACAAAAAATAAAAATTAAAAATCATCCGTATTTTTAGACACCTGTTGTGTAAATGGCAATTAGCCCTGCAGGAAAATCGACTGGTTGAAAGAATTTGCCAATTTATGCACAGAGTGTAATGTTTGTTGAGTTATCGGGGGTGGTCCCAGGTGGAGGATATTCATATCCTCACTCACTTCGAAGACTGACAGAAACTTTCACATCTCTTTCCGCAGGAATTCTGGCTTCATTCAGCTGTATCTTCGTTTTTGTTTAAAGAGGCTGATTGATCTGTATATTAGCAGGGGATTCCTTGCGATAGCCTGTCTAGAGAACAACTGGCTTAAATAAAGGGAAAGCCCTCATATGTATAAAGACTTCACTGTGGGTGCCTTTCTCGAAATCGACGAGGCATTTAATAATGTCCTTGCGGGGTCAATCGTCATATACCTGAGTAGGTAAGCTGATATTCGGAATCAGCCAAATTAAACTTTTGTAAGTAATTTGTTAATTATTTTTTTCATGCTATTCAAAATGTCTTCCACTACGAATCTTTTCCTTAAATGTTTATTTTAAATATAGCTCATTCTATAAGAAAAAACATACAAATCGATGTTACAAACTTTTTACAATTTTCGAAAAAAATTTAGAGTATTTCAAAAAATGGTCAGCAAAATTTCAAACCTTTTTATCCGATTTTTTTTTAGAAGTTTTTTGATTATACACTTTTGTAGCCCATTCAATTTCAATAAAGTGCAAATTTTAAGTGGCTAGGAGTTATCGTTGATTTTTGAAATTTTTTTCGACAATGGTGTCGCCCGTTTTCTTCCACATAAAAATAAATTTATTTCGTGGTTTTTACTATAGAGGTAGTTATATTTTAAATAAAAATTAACGGAAAATATTTATAATGGGAGACATTCTGAATATTTCTGCCAATCAATGAATTCTTCTGTAACTATTCACCGTAGAGTAAATATATACCCGCTACTCTCATCCTATCGTTGGATTTTGGTCATAATCGGCTTTGGCAATCATAGTAAGACGGAACTCGCCTTGCTCTCTTGGAAGTTTACATATACACGCGACCCTTCCCTCAATCAGATACATACGCTTTCTGATTGAGTCAAGTACTTGGACTTGGTTATAAACGGGAAGCTTTAGCGGAAGCCTAACATTAAGGAGAGAGAGAATAAGGCATCAGTAGTGACTCTCTTTTGCTGGTGGCAGGGTAGTTTTGGGGCAATCAGTAAGTCTATTTTCTGGCAGCCCATAACGTTTTAGCCCATAACATTTTAGGGATACCTCGTTTGGTGCAATGCGCTGAAGAAAACTACGCTAGTCAGAATTGGAATAGTCATTGGAAACATCGGAGAATTTAGAACCGGTCCCACTTTGATTTAACGTTAATATAACTTCTTTCGACTTCGTAGGCAAGTCAGCTGCAGCTAGAACTGCGGTCGGACTTAGGGACACTGGTATTCAACTGACTCAGTAATTGGACATTCTAGCATCTTCGGCTATATCCATTATAACACAGATAATTTGGTGGCTAAACTGGCACCAATGAGCTCCTTCTACCCTTATATCCCCTCTTAGGTTGGGAGTGAATGGGAGGTAGTAGTTGGAAGGTGGCATCGGTGAAATTCTCTTCGTCAGGTCAGGTCGACTAATTTGCGTAAGGGTCATATTCAGAGAATTATCTCTGCGTTAATCCCAAATGCAGACTTCCGTGTCAATGTAGTTTTTTTCTGGCAGAAGTGGCTGTCATTAAGGAAGAAGCCAAACGGCTGCCCAACTGCGCGGCGGGGGCAATGCCTCCCTTCAATTGTGTCACGCTTATATGGGTACGAGGCCATGGAGCTATTGCAGGAAATAGCGTTGCGGTTGAATTAGCCAGGAAAGGCTAGGTAGGTCTTACCGAGAGAGGAAAGAGTGGAGTTAGCAGATCGCCGTGACTTTGGCGAAAACTGTCGCAACTGTTAATCATAAAGGACGATATCTTAGTGATTTCTCTTAAGCTGTCTAGCTTTGGTGATTCTACGGACCATTGATCTCAGTTTTTAACCAGTCCTGGCGAGGCCTGACTCTGCCACCTGCGAAATTTCTTACAAGGCACATAGCGTTTTTCACTATAGTTTTGCGGTTACCACTCGCAGTGGTATTAAAAAAGAACTGATGCTTGTTGCCTTAGTGTGCCCCTATCTGGGGCAGCGACCTCAAGCTAACCTCGTTTCTTGCATTTTTTCAATTCCTTTCAGGTTTAAGCCGTCTCCTTGTAAAACCCTCCTTTGTATGGTACGCAAATGTAAAGAACTTTTCCTAGAGGACACCTTCTATCGCTGATTAGTGCGTAAGATACACTTTCTGTTTCAAAATTTTTTAAATGTACTATTTATATTTCTGTGGCTTATGTCTCATTTTCTTTACCCACTAGCCTGTCGTCGAGAGGCTGTAGTTGAGCGCTTTATGTGCAACGCACAGAGTGCACTCATGCATTTTCGCTATAAATTTTAAATGGCTCATTCATGAATTATGTGATTTGCTGACTAATATTTTTATTTAAATTTTCAAATTGAGTGCCACACTTTTGTTTCGTTGCACTGGCAAATTGCTAAATCACTGGCAGTTCAGAGGTGGAGAATTTTAGTTTTCTACCAATGATGACTGCATTGCAGCTTTTTTATAACCCATGTCGAATGTTTTTCTGAGAATTTTTTCTGAATGTCTTATGAATGTGTCTGTGGGAGCTACGGGAAGTGCGAGGCTAAACCTATTTTTAGCTATTTGTGTAATTGGTTGAAATGCCGAAAAATTACTTCACCTTAATGGAGATCATAAATCAGAATACGGTTTATTTAATTGGACATTTTTTTATTGCTTGATGATTTAAAATATTTTTAACTCCCATAAAATTAAACAATCAATCTTTTTTCGCTTCTTCCAGTAAATTCACCGCCTCGCATCATCAAACAACCGCCAACAGATGAACTGCTTTTCAAAGTCGCAGTACAAAATAAGGAAAGTGATAAACCATTCATCATCGAATGTGAAGCTGAAGGAAAACCAGATCCAAGGTAGGCGCACAAATCATAATAACATCCCTCAAGTTAATTTTATTTTACTTTTGCTACTTTTCTTGGCGCCCTGATAATTTTTTTAAAACAAATATTTTCCGTCGCTTTTAAGTGAAAAAATGAAAACTACTTAAACGAATTTCCGCATAACTTACAAATTGGCACAACCGGTGGCGTTAGGTCAGTGGGTAGCACGCCACTGCTCTGCTGATGGTCGTGCAGTGGTTGCGTTGAAAAAGCGGAGGAATGCCAGGGTATGGCGGCGCCAGCAAATGCCAAATTAAATTGCAATTAACGCAGCAGGAATTCGGACGCTCGCATTTTTTACGCGCGAGAACGGAATGAAAAATAAAAATCTGAAAAATTTAATTGAGAATCTTTAAGGTGAAAGTAATTTCGCGTAGCTAAACATTTTTTTTTTTTTTCTCAAAAGCAGAGGCACTGAAAATCGAAATTTCGCGCTTCTTCGTTTGAATAATTTTTTCTTCTACTTTCCCCTTTTTTATTTGCTCTTATTTTTTGTTTTATTTTTAATACATATTTTTTTTTATTTACGAGCACTTTCCTGCTGTGGAATGTGTTTTGAAGTAAAAATAAAGAATTGATTTAGTAACAATGCTCGGCATAGAAAATTTGTTGTTATAGCGACGCGTTCTAATTTTAGTTTCGTGGAAAGCGAATGTTTTTTTTTTGCTTTAGTAGAGGGCGAAAAGAGCCTACGAAAATACGGAAAACTCGCATAAAAATATACCAGCGAGACGGAGACTATTATTCTTTAGAGTTTTTAGCTAGAAATGTTTTAGTTACTCAAAAAATTATTTTTTTGTTTATTTTTATGAACCTGCCTGCCAAAGATGTTAGTTGGTGGCTGCCTAAGTAAAAGAAGAATTTTTCGCTAAAAAAAAATATTTGTTAAAACAGCTGGAAAAGAATATTTGAGTGCTACAGCTGGAAGAGCTTAGAATGGACGAAATTCGATAATAAATTTAATATTTTTCTAAAAATAAATAATTATTGACTGGTAAAACATATTTTGCTGAAAGAAATTAGCAATTAATAAGAATTTAAAACATGTTCCATGCGAAGACGAAACATTTTGAATTAATGATTTTAAATTTTTAATTCGATTTTCAAAATATACAGTGCTGGAAAAGTAAATAGGGACATGTCATTTTAACAAGGGTTTTCTTTTGTTTATTGAATGTTTATAATAGATATATGTAGTTCATTATCTAACAAAAACATATACATATAAACATATTTTAAACTTTGTAAAAAAGTTATAAAAATTCTGCAAATTGCTTCGGTATTTGAATAGGCAGCTGAGAACGGGCGTTTCTGAACCAAATTCTGTGATAGGGCGTTCTTCAAACAAATTCTGAGATAAGGCGTTTCTAAATCAAATTCTGAAGTAGGGCGTTCTTGAAAAGTTTTCTAAGATAGAGCGTTTTCGAACTGGCTGCCGAGATAGGAAAAAGTGTAAAAATCCGCCAGCAAAAACAAAAAAAAAATTGTAAAAATCAACGCTTTTTTTTAGATAAGTAATGTTCTGACACTCCCTGAGTCATGTATTAGAACAGGCAACATCAACATCTGTTGATTCAAGCCGCACAGCTGTGGTATACATTGAAATCCGAATTTACATTGCATTGTCTGAGGTTTGTACGAACACCTGTAACAATTCTTAAGTCGTGACTGGAAAAGTAAATTAGGAGTTTCTCTTTTTTGATATTTCCGGTACAAAGACTTTGGCTTGTTTCTTACCTTCCTTATTTGTCTAGCAGCTAGATATAAGAATTTCGTCCGACGAGCTCCATGACTATGACCGATGAAGAGTCTAGGGCCTCTGAAACCTTCTGCAACTCATAATTCCACTGTGTCCCGGTAACCAAATGAGTCAAATCCCCCGCGTATTAAGAGCTAAAGATAGTCCCACACCAGCCTTGAGATGACTTCGTGTGCTCTCAGCGCCAGAAGCACCGACCTTTAGATAGATAGATATTAATGTGAGGTGAGCAGCGCGACTTGGTGATCTATTGTGCCCTCTTCTCTTCACGACACTTCATCTAAGCCCAGGTCCCTCAGAAACTTCAATAGCGCCTTCGGAGCCTTCGATGTTGTTTTCTGAGTTGGCCTGCAAGAATTTGTAAAACCCTTTACCAACATGCTATTAAAAGGGAATGTCTAAAAAGAGGGCACCTTGTATTTTCCCGTGAGAAATATCTTTTAGGGTTTCGGGGTCGTTCCAAGCTCGTACATGAAATACACTTGATACTTGCAGAATCATTTGAATACAAATGCGGGCGAAAATCAAGAGCCTTGCGCTACAGAATGCTAGACAATAGCCTCCAGAGTTCAGTATGACCAGCGCCCAGCTTCTTGGATAGCTTGATGAGTATCTCTAATGCTGCCACTAGGCTCGTGTTTTTTCTTCGAGCGAAAAAAGTCGCCGGGAAGATATATCAAACGGCTGTTTTTCTCCTCAACAAAAACCCGATACTTATGTACATATGTATGTATTGGTAATTGTTTCATGTATTTTTAGTTAATATTCGATACCAAAACATTATTTTATTATAATTTATGAATTTTCCAAAAATGAATCCCCGTAGCTTGAACAGAGACAAAAATAAAATATGATGTGTAGACAAGCGAATTACATATGTACTATGTTTACAGTTCAATATTCACATATTTTATTGTAACAATCTTCAAGTAAATCGAAATGAGGTCATGTTAATGCTTATAATATTATGATTTACTACTTCGTGTTGCTTATGTGCGTTTTGTTCTTGTTTTGCTAGTTCGCTTCAAGTTTATTTGATGATGATTTTTTAAATAAATTGTATATTGAAGTTTTAGTCCCCATATTTTTAATAATATGCTATACATTCTTTCAACTTTTATAAAATAAAAAAGGGGTTGAAAAACGAAAAAGCAAATATCCAAAGCTGTAAAATTCAGAGACCGCACTGAATATGAATTTTATTATAAAAACAATGTCAGGCAACTTTTTACTGTTGTTATTTGAAGCAGGAAACAATGAGCTTTTTAAGGAAAAAGTAAAAGGGAAAGATTGGCTAGTGTTTTTTTTAGCAGAAAATAACCTGTAATTTTGACTTTAATTTTTTAGGCATTTATAAAAAGTAAATTCAAATATAGATATTTTTAGACTTGTTAGCTTCCGAAAAAAATATAGAAACATCCCGAAAAATAAAAAATCCGAAAGCTTTCGAATAAATACCGAAAAACCTAAGAATTCCAAAAACCCCGAAAAGTCGTACACAACCTCCGAAATATTTAAAAAATTCCGAAAAACGGGAAGCATCTCGTAAAGTAGTAGTAAAAAATCTGGAAAAGTTCCGATAAATATCAAAAAACTAAAACGAAAGGTACGCAAAAGGCATGAAAATTCTATGAAAAAATCCCGAGAAATGAAGTACGAAATATTCAGAAAAATTCGTACAGAATTCCAAAAATGTATACGAAAATCTCGAAAGATCACAAAAACAGATACTCGAAGTATCCTGAGAAGTCCTAATAAGTGTGGAAAAAACCCAATTAATAAATTAACGATCACGAAATATCCCGAAAAAGGAATGAAGAATCCCGAAAAAATTCCGAATGGTCACGGACAAGTCCCATAAAAAAAAAACATAAAAGTTTCGAAAAATCTCCAAATATACCCAAAAATAAAACCTTATTTCGCAAAATCACAAAAAAAAATCCTGAAAAGGTCCGAAAAATCTCAAAACAAAAGCGTGGGGTATATTCAAAACAGTCAAGGTATCGAAAGAGCCAAAGAACTAAAGCACGAAATATCCAGAAAGGCTCATGAAAAATTCCGGAAAAATGTGAAAAACTTGCGAAGGATCATGAATAATCGCCGAAATATGCTCAGAAGTTCCAAAAATTAAAAATAAAAGTAGTATCTCAAAAAGCTCCGACAAAATTGTGAACCACCACCTAAATATCCTAAGAATATCTTCAATAAAAGTCCAAAAAATAAATAATTAACCTTAAGAAAATACTAGAGGACCTCAGACCACCCTTCTCAAAATGTCCCCAAGAAAATATTTATTACTACTCCCAGCGCGATCGCCATCAATTTCATGCAGTTCCCATGCATGCACCTCTTTCGTCATTTAAAAACCACTTTAGCCCCATTAATATATTTCTCCGCTTATCTGTGTCACATTAAAAAATTATTAATAGCCACTCACATTCACCATTTCTGTCAGATTTACTTGAATACTTACTACACAAGTGCGTACGTACGTTTTGCATTTGACCGAAAACCCAACGATACATCTTAAATTTCAAATTCACGGTCATAAAAATTGCATTACATTAATATTTGTACAGTGTGTGTCTGGCATAATTTGTTGCAGACACACCACGAACAACAACACCCAGCACCCAGGCAGCCAGCTACCAAAACTCACATGACAGCGTGTGGGATAGAAGGAGCTATCTCCCTGTGCTTCGCTTGTGTGTGTGTGGGGATACAAGGTGCGCGCAAATTTCGATTAATCGCCACCGACATGTTGCATACTGCTGAAGCGGCTGCGGCTGCTGATGCGGCTGCTGTTGCTGTTGCTGATGCTGATGATGTGCGCCATCAAGTTGTTGGCAGTGATGGCAACAAAGCAACAACACCAACGTGGCTACTTGAAAGTGCAATGGCAGCAACAAAACCAACAACAACAATGCCAGCTACTAACAACTGTGTTGTATGGCGCTGCATGAGAAATCAGATTTGTTCAAGTGTTGCTGTTTGTTACTCGTTGCTCCTACTTTCATACAAACCTACATTTTGCTTTGGTAATTGTGTTTTTGTTGCACTTGCAGTTGCTTGCTGTTGCTGATTATTATTATTTTATTGCACTTGTGATTAAGTCAAGTGGCGGCAGCAACAACAGCAGCAGTAGCAGAAAAATCAGCAGTAAAAGCAACATCATCAGACAACTGCCACAGCCAGCCGGCAGCCGGTTAAGTGT